CATATGCATACATTGCATTTTCCACTAAACACAAAAGGAAACAGTAAGTTCGTGATTTCAAATAAGTTTCATTGACAGTTATTTACTGCACATTCACACTAGAATACGTTTGCTGCATGCGCTTACTTGCAACGATGATTCAAGCAGTATCAATGAATTATGCCAGAGATATCTAACTTGACTATAGACCTGACTTCAGTTCATGTAGTGATCATTGCAAATATGCATGTAAAATGCTACTCGGAAATCCGTTCACGTAATCTCAACATACAGCTTTGAATAATATATAACTCCTGTGAGTCCGTTTTGAACATTACTTGCGATTTAGCGCTACTGAATTCGTTGTTTAAGATCAATCTTGGTTTGCACACCAAATGCTGAATAGTTGTGTTGATGAAGTACTGTTTTGTCAAACGATAATGATTGCTCAGCATGATTCGCCCAACCCTACACAGGTTTTTTCTTTAATATATACCTTGTAATTGGATTTTCTCCCGTAGCAGTTCGATTCGATTCCAATAGGCGTATGTCGAACGCACCTTCCCTTAGTCGAATATCAAAACACAATAATTCTAGGAGAAAGTGGTCTATTTATATAAAAAATGGAAATACAAACAAATATCTGACAATTATTACGCCTCCCAAGTCGAAATTACTCTGATGAGTATCCAAGTTCAAAAGATTACGTGAAGCTAGTATACTGCGACGATATCAAATCCAAATATGGCTGTAGCCATATTATATATCAAATTTAAACAACATGTGCACATTTCAGAAGCAAACATAAAAAATTTCAATATAAGTACAAATATATAGAAATAATTACAATATACAATGATAAAATCTGAAAATGGAATCAAGTAGAGTAACAAAATTCCAACAGTAAAAAACAGTCAGATCATAACAAAAATATATATAAACATGGGGGATTTTCCAAAAACCAAACCATTCAAAAACGATTCTACGTACCTAGTATTCAAGAAGTTTTGTAGTCTATTCTGAACAGAACCTTCCGTAGAAATACAATCACATCATTAAGCCAGGGACAGCTCATCGAATTTTCAACTTCTGAACAAGAAAACACAAAAGTCCTTAACAGTTTGGTCAGCATTAAAGATCGAGATAGAAAAGTACAT